GCACATCTATGCAAAGTTTTACGTTGAGACCAGTCAGTCAGTCGGTCACCTCAACAGTGCCGTCATTCAGCTTCTATACAGGCAATGTAGGCTTCTTAATACAAAACAAGTACTGAAAGACAAAAAAATTAGTTAACCAAAGTTGAACTGCTAAAAGTGCTGTAGAATCGAGGGGAATATTCTCAATGAGGTGGGATCAAAAGCTCTGTCCACAAGAATCACACATCAAACACTTCCCACCGCAGACAGTCCCTATGGGTCAGAATGATCTTCATTGACTCAAACAAATTCATATATCAGATAGTTGGAGGTAATCGGTCATAGGAAGCCTTGGACACCTAGGTTTCGTGCTAGTTGGCACTCACCAATCAGCAAGGCGTATCTACAACCACGTTGAAGGAACTCATGTCCCTTCTGAGATTCGAACCCGCGTCACCCAGCGCGAGCGCGAACAGATCAGTGCTAACGCTTTTGACTGAAACACTGGGTGACGCGGGTTCGAACCTCAGAAGGGATATGAGTTCCTTCTAGGTTGCAGATACGCCTTGCTGACGAGTACCGACTGGCACGAAACCTAGGTTTCTATCCGATTGCCTCTAACTATCTAATATCATCAAATCAATGTGCACCGTGATGGCGAGCTACCCTAGAATGGTGGCCACATTACAAAGCTGACTGCCTGATAGAATTCAGTCTGCACCAAAGAACGGACTAGACACGTCACACTAGTTACTAGTGTCCAATCAAAAAACTCATATATCGTTAAACAACACATTATCAATGTACACACACTATCGCAAAGGTAAGTATCCCAGTTAAAGGTTAAACAAGGACAGAAGCAAATAATAAAGGTCAAATGTCAATTAAATGAAATGTCAACCTGAGCTTGAGCACTTCGGTCAAATCAATCAAGGGACTTTCGTGACCCAAATGTTCTAGTGAATAACGCTTTGGCGTTTGGAACTATATGAGTACTGGGTTTGAACCTCAGTAGGAACGCCATCACTTGCTAGGAGATGTAAGTACCTCCCCAGACGACGAGTCCCAAATAGGACGAAATGCTCATTGTCCTGGATTCCGCTGCTTGTCTCCATCCATCATTTGACTTCAGATTAATGATAAACAGTCTAGGAGAAAAATATAATAATTAAAAGGTTTGATGAAATGCCTAAATAGGCATAAATGTGTACGTCGGTGGCACATCGGTTAGGACTCTCGCCGGCCAGATGTGTTATTGAAGCCAGGCGTATGTCCCACTCGGAATGCAAGGGAATAATAATATTAATACAGCACACAAATGTATGCAAGGTAAAACTAAAAGTTTCTTAAGGACTATATGGAAGGAAGAATAGTAGCTTAAAGAAACATGAAGACAGCATGGATCTGAGAGATTACGAGAGAGTGAATGTATCTGCTTCATTCAGAAAGATTGAGAATCATATTATAAAATGTCTTTGTCGGTTGATTCACTCCTTTCTTGGAAAACCTAGCAGTCAAGGAGTTTTCCCCCCTGTGACCTTCTATGTGACTTAAACCTATACTGAAATGAATTGGAATCCTTACAAGAACCCATAATCTGAATTCCTCTGACCCTCAGAAGATATTAAAAATATGTCGACATCATTCAGTTGTTCCTTTGACATATTTGATATATGTTTGCACAAACATGCCGCCTTCAGGCATGAATCATGTCACCTATTTTAAAAATCTCATTACTGATTACTCTACTCATCAAGTTTTAACATGATTGTCGATGAAAGTTCGCATGTAGTTTGTAACTGACTGGTTTCTTAACAGATATGCACCAGTTCGAGTTGTCACTCTCCTTCCGTGTAGCACACAAATCAATTTTTTTCCTTCACGTTCCCCAGTGGAACATAGGGTTCCAAGCTAGAGGCTTGAAGTTTCTGTAGCAGTGGTAATTTTTTACAGGATGGGGTTGCTAGCCTCACGCCTCCCCCCCCGACCTTTCCTCTTTACCAGCATTATTTCTGGCTTAGCGAGGTGAAGAAGTGCGTCGGCCAGGGATCGAACCCCAGACCATGTGCATGGTTTGTGACCGTCCTAATCGCTGTGCCACCGACGCACAGCACAAATCAATAAAAGAGATAATAAAAAAAAGTGTGAATGCGGAAAAAAATCCCGGTGATGTGAGAGAACAATAGAGTTTTATTGGAGGAAATGACAAATCACAAAGAGTAAGTGCATCTGCACCAGCCATCGCTGAGAATGAAGATTTCGAGTCATATCACCCACTAATTATCTCCAGCCTTCACTAATTCTTACCGTCTCGAATACTTCAACCAGATAACAGTCTACACCTGCCTACATGACTGGCTGACTGGCTCAAACAAACTGTTATGGATTTCACTGATGACTAAGCCATGTTTAGGTTTGATAACCACTACATCTCTTCCACCCTTAACGATCCTACGTCAGCTAACATGGTCCGTCAGTTGAGGAGGGCGATATATAGCTAGGGATGCATGTATAACACATGTCCTAACCATCTCAGTCGATGTAGCTTGACAGTCTCTTCGATTGATTTTCCCTCTTCCTTATCTAGCACTCGACCGATCGCCTTACCTCAGTTTCACTCACCGTTTTATGCCATCAGACACGGGAAATAAGATGCAGACACCCTTGCCTTATTCAAAATGATGATTGTAATCCATAATAATGGTAACTTGTGTTGAAGCTCATTTACCTCTAGAACTGTTTTTCTTTCATCCTTTGTTTTCCCAGTGAAACATAGAGCTTCAAGTTGTTGAACTTTCACTCGCGGCGTTTCGTCTTCTTTTCCTAGTGGAATAGGACTTCTAGTCTCGCACCCAAGCTTCCCTCGTTTCCTGACTTTCTTTCGGTTTGTAAAACAGACAATGTAGTAGGCGGGCCGAGATTCCAATCCCGGACCACGTGAGGGTTTGGCTGCAAGTATCTGCTGACACTAGCTGCAGTGCTCCTTATTCGGTTAGTACCGACCCACCAACCGAAGTGGAAGTCCGTGGGGAACTCCAAGTGTTAAAATGCCATAAGGTGCCCGGCCCAGACAATCTACCCCCAGCTCTTTTTAAAGATGGTGGCGAAACTCTCGCAATGGATCTAACTGGTTTATTCAGGAAAGTATAGGAGACAGAGATTGTACCATCAATGTGGAACGAAGCCATTATCGTCCCCATCTTTAAAAAGGGTCGACGTATTTCATGTGACAATCACAGGGATATCAGTCTGCTACCAGTCGCGCCTAAAATATTGACTGCTGTCTTGCTCCGCAGGCCGTACAAAACACGTGAGCTAATGATCTTCGAAAAGCAGGTTGAGTTTCATTCAGGTTATGGATACGTTGATCAGGTGTTCACCCTTCATCAGTTGTTGGAACACCGCCACACACGTATTACAGGCCAACACTCGTTGTGTTTTTTGATATTAGGGGGCTGCCTTCGATTCGTTGGACACAATTGTGCTCTGGAACTGTCTGTCACAGAGGGATGTACCTGGGAGGTTTGTCAACATCCTTAAGGCCCTAAACAGAAACATCCCAGGTAGAGTGATGGCATACAACCAACTATCGTCACTGTTCCCAACCAACAGCGGGGTTAGACAGGCTTGCCCGATCTCTCAATTTTTCTTTTTTTAACTTTACCATCTATGATATTCTGGAGTCAGCTCTAAAGGATGTACGTGAAAGTGGTGTAGATCTGCTGCCTGGAGAGAAACTTTTCGACCTCGAGTATGCAGACGATATCGTCTCACTGTGGTATAGATAGCATGCAGCCTGCCCAAATCGGATTTCATCAGTTGGCGATCAGTGTCTGTTAGTATGGTATGTGCTTTGCACCGTCTAAATGAAAAGTACTTTTACTGTTACAAGATTGGCAGGAGCCTGCAGCTGACTTGAATTATCCCGTTCCAATTTCTTATCGAATCTCATCCTTCCCTTTTAATAACTTCTACTACTACTGTGGCGAAAGCTGACTGCAAGCCAAAATTGTAGACGACAATTTACGTCAATCGTCACGTCCCGAATCAGGGTCATGAAAAAAAAAACAATTAGAAAGCGTAAGCTTGAGAAAATCACCAATCAATCACAGCGGAGTTAAAGTGTGCAAATACAATTCGCAGATGTATGGCTCAACGTTTTGAGAAACGGTCACAAGCAATACAGAATAACCTTGAGCAAGGAACACCAACCAATCAGAAGAGGATGCTTCTTCGCTAACAATAACGCGAATATGATTTGATCATGAGCTGACATTAGTTAGAGAACCATTGGAAAACCTGAGAGTACTGGACAGCTGTTGGGACTCTTAAGCAATACACACCCACCTCATAGGGGTTCGAACCCTGGACTTTCTTGTTACAAGGCCAGCTCGTACGCTATCAAGGTTTTCCAATGGTTCTTTAACTAATGTCAGCCCATGATGAAATCCTGTAACCAATCAAATCCCTACAAACCAACACTTGAATATCAATGAGATGCTCATTGGCGACTTGCCCTATTCAATTTGGGTAGTTACCTGGAGTTCTAGTGAGAAGTCGTGACCAGTAGGGTGAAGCAGGTCATGTGTGACGACAAATATTCGCCGAAGACATTGTCTAGGTGTCGCGCTATGTCGTGAATTGGCAGAAGTTAGAATTCATGAGCCATTGGATCCGGTCCCAGCAGCTTAATGGTCTACGAGCTTGCCTTGTAACCGGAAGGTCCTGCGTTCGAACCACTGTGAAGTGGGTGCGTACTGATGAAGTGTCCTAAACTAGAACGAAACAGTTGCCTGAAGGTTTTCCAATGGTTCTCTAACTAATGTCAGCTCATGATGAAATCCTGAAACCAATCAAACCCCTACAAACCAACACTTGAATAACGCGAATAATAATGTACATAAAAATCTATAAATACCTCTTGATTTTCTCAATATATGATCTGTTGCCTGGCCCTTGTCTTATGTCGTCGCACTTCTAATTCATTATCTCACGAATACTTTATTCTTACTTGTTTCTAGATCAATTAACAGAATACCAGCGTTCATTGGTTTACATCACTCCTGAAAATACTCTACTAGATGCTGTCCGTATGCTACTCAAGCATAGAGTACATCGTCTACCGGTGATTGATCCTGCCAGTGGGAATCCTTTACATATATTGACGCATAAACGTGTTCTTAAGTATCTGCATATTCATGTAAGTCCTATAGATATTATTTATTACTACTGTTATTGCTATATCTCTCCATTTGTAAGCCGTGTGATAGTATGGGCATTCTATTATTATTATTCTGTTATTATTTATTATTATTATACTACTGATGGGAGTAATATCAGTAGTTGGAAACACCGTTGACAAAAACCCGTAGTTCGTGTTAGCTAAACACTGAATAGACGATTGTTTCACTCGTTTAAAATCGAGTTTATCAGTGATCTGGGGCCTTTTGACTCAGTTCACGGACTCGAACTGCTACAGCTGACTGTATAGTTCATCAAAGGATTAGGCAGTCGACTTTGAAATACTAGTTTATGGATATTCCAGTTCCCCTGACTCCTATACAGTCTAACTGGCTGATTTCAACATAGAACTTTGCACATATGTGTGGCAGTTCAATTCGCCACACTCCATTCCTTGTAGCACACAAAGCAAGCGAAAAAAGTGAAAAGAAATGCAAAATATAGTCAGCATACAGAGATATGAGACAAAGGAATATTAATAACGAAGAACAATATAGTTTCATTGGAAATTATAAGTCAAAAGGAGTGGATGCATCTCCACCTGCCATTCAGAACGATTGTGAGCCGTATCATCGATTGTCGCCAGCCTTCATTGGTGTTTACCGTCTCGAGGACCCCAACCGGCCAGTTAGGAAATCTACACCTTCCTACGTGGCTGGCTGACTTAAACTAACCGTTGTGGATTTCATTGACTAATGAAGCCGTGTTTTGGTTTGACCGCCGCTAGCTCTTTTCCAGCCTGACCCCATGTCGGCTGACATTGCTAATTGTCGAAGAAGGCGATGACTAGGCATACGTAACACATGTCCCAACCATCTCAGTCAATGTAACTTCACAGCCTTGTCGATTGATTTCGCCTCCCACGTACCTAGCAGTCGACCGACGCCTAACCTCAATGTAGCTCACCTTATTATACTACTTCACATGGGAGATAGAACGCAGGCACCTTTGATCAAAGACAGCTAATCTTTTCATGTCTTCCACTCTCAATGGCCAGATCTCACAACCATAAAGGAGAACGGAGCGGTGCACGGAAGTGTACCAACAGTTCGAGTTGCTGTACTCCACACAAAGGAAGACAAAAGAGAGCTACTTATAGGCAGAAATGTGAGGGAGAAAGATTAGTAACTTGGTAAAACTGTAGGGTATTATAGATACTGCAGATTGAAAAAACTGTGATTGCATTTTGAGTCATTGAGAATGACTTTTAGTAATATCATTAACTGTCTCCAGGCGTCGCGTCATTGGTTCTTACCATCTCGAGGACCCCAAACTAGTCAGGTAGGCTACACCTCCCTACGTGGTACAAAGTAAACGTCATAGATTTTTTGGTCTGATGAAGCTACGTTTTGATTTGACCACGACCTGATCCCATGTAAGCGATTAACACCACCTGTTGACTGGGTGAGGCTCGTTATTCTATACATGTAAGTCTACGCGCCTGTTGAGGCATAAGGTCGAGTTGTTATGATACCTCCTATACTTCTTGAATTTTTTCTTATACAACAACTGTAATGTAAATATGTGGGTCAGTCAAACTAGCAGAGCATAAAAACCCAAATAAGATAAGAAATCTAGAGAGTAGGTTCAGCTGTCTCAAGCACTACATGCAATTACACACGACACAACCATACAATAGGATGGATGAGATAAGCTGACAGTTCTAAAATCTAATGTCACATGGTGGAGGGAGGGAAAGATTGATAACGGAAGCCTTACTTATCGAATCAATTTCAAGTACGTGTAGTAACACCTGTCCAGTCATATCTGGAAAATTCTACTACTACTCCAACGACGATAAATAGGAGTAAACAAATAAAACTATAAAACGAAAGTTTCGAAGTTGTTTTGGGGTGAGCACAGGCTGCTAGGCAAATTGGTAGACAATAATTTACGTCAATGTTTATGTCCCAAATATTGGTCGTGAGAAAATATGAACAAAGACTGATTCAACAACCAATCACAGCAGACTTGGAGTAGGCAGATGGAGTCAATATATAGATGATCTGACAGTCAAGAAACAGTCACAAAGAGATGCAAAGTCAACTGTCTGAGGGGAAACAACTAATCAGAAGACGACTGTGTTTGTTTGCTTGAATAAGCTTATAACAATGTACATGAAAATATATAAATACGTGTGGATTTCCTTAATAAACGATCTGTTGCCTGACCCTTGTGTTCTGCTGTTACAGTGTGATTATAATTGATCTGATTATGAATAATAAGTGAATTGTATTCGAAACTTTGTCATCCAGTAAATAATACTGTTTCTAGGACTGTGTGATACATCTAATAAACAAACTAATGCGGGATTACTTACTATCATCACATTGCCTAAGTTTTACACACATATATTAACACTGGATTCAAAGTTGTTTTATGCCCAGAGTTCCCTGTGGTGTGTTGGTGCTTGTCTTTTCTAGCCATCTAATCTTCAGTGTATCGAGCCAGTGAAGCCAGCTGGTGTTGATGAAAGTCTGCAGTAGATTAACCCTGTTGGAATTACTTTCCGCAACGTTCATGACAAGTCCCTAAAGCATTGATTTGACTTGACTTCTTAATGTTGATTTCAATAGATTTCTGTACAAAAATCAGTTAAAATAAAGGTGGATCTTACTTTTCTAGTTCTATCCAGTTGACGAGTCCCAAATAGAACGAAATACGCGTCTTTCTGGATTCCACTGCAAATCACCATCCACCAATTAACCTCTGTTATTCTTGTTGGCGGGTTGGTTATTTTCATCACCTTCGTCTTCTGTAATATTGACTTGGATTTCGGTCTTCGATACTTCGTCTAGTATTTTGTTGGTTATCACCTGTCGATCGTCGAGTTTGTATGACACATTCATCATAAATCATCTCTGAAATGCTGGTGTTTTAGAGTTTTCTTATCGGTTCAACATACTCCTGTCTTCTCTCCTTCTTTCTCCCTAGTCTTCTGCATAATTCAGTCCACTAAAATCAAGAATATCATCGATGGCAATAGTGCTAACTGTTGATAGTTATTGGTGCTGGCTGCTGTCGTCGTTGTTGGTTGATTATCTTCATCGCCTCCGTCCGTCCGTATCCTCTATGTTCACTTGGAGTCCTTTCTTCTCAACCTGCATCTTCAGTCAGCTTTTTGCTTTTCACCTGCAAGTCTACCTATCTATCTATCTATCTATCTGTCTCCCGTGTGAAGTGGTATAATAGGGTAAGCAATACTGAGATTAAACTTCGAGTGCTAGGTAAGGAGGGGAAATCAATCGATGAGGCTGTGAAGCTACATCGACTGAGATGGTTAGGTCATGTATTACGTATGTCTAGTCATCGCCTTCCTCGACGGGCAATGTTAGCTGGCATAGGGTCAGATTGGAGAACTACCGGTGGTGGTGGTCTAACCAAAACATGGCTTCATCAGTCAATGAAATCACAACAATTAGTTTAAGCCAGCCACGTTGGAAGGTGTAGACCTCCTGACTGGCTAGCTAGAGTTCTCAGGACGGTGAAAACCAAAATAGGCTGGAGACAATCGGTGATATTATAAATTATTTGAATTAATCCGAGAGTGTTTAAAAAAATGAAAAGATATTTCTGAACGTTTCGCTGACTAGGCGCTCAAATTATTCTAGGAAGTTCGTAACACCAAAGGTCTGGAAACGTATATTCAGTGATATTGCTCGAAATCGTTCTCAGTGATAGCTGGTGCAGATGCATCCACTCCTTGTGACTTATAATTTCAAGTGAAACTATATTGTTCTTCATTATTACTATTCTTTTTGTCTCATATCGCTGTCTACTGTCTTTATTATGCATTCCTTCTACTTTCTTCCCTTGCTTTATGTGCTATACATGGAGGGAGAGTGACGACTCGAACTGCTGTACATCAGTGCAAAGTTCTATGTTGAAAACAGAGAAACAGACTGACAGACCTGCAAGTCTTCAAGTTTGCGCGACATCAAACATAAATCATCTGCAATATCTAAATCTTCTAGAGTAAGTGCAACGCATATTCCTGTCTTCTGACTCCCTGTACACACCCTAACGCATTATCCAGTCCACCACCACAATTAAAAATATCATCAATGATAATAGGCAGCCAATCAGCTTGTTTTACTTGTCCAAATGCCTTTCGAACGCTTCGCTGAGTTTTCCGTTATGGATCACTTGGCATGTGACATTGTCATATAACCAGCTGTTGAATAAATAGAGATGACATAAAAAATATCTGCACACATATTTGCTAACGATAACACGAGAGTAAACAAAATTTGATTAATGGTCATATTGTTTAATGGACTTTTTTTAAACCGCGCTGAAATTAGATACAACCTTTGATATCAAAAGGTTTAAACAGATTGTCCTTGTATGCATATATAATATATGGATAATAGTTAAAGTATATAATTGTTATTGACAAATATTAACAATTATTTATGTAACCTGATCTGACCGATATAAAAATTTCAAGAGAAGAGATAGGTGTACGTGTGATTGTGGTGAGAGCTGGTTGAAAGCCAAAATTGCTAGACAGCAATTTACGTCAATATTACAGGATTTCACCATGAGCTGACATTGGTTAGAGAAACATTAGAAAACCTGGGAGCACTGGACAGCTGTTTCGTCAGTCTAGTTTGGGACTCTCCAGCAGTATGCACCCACCGGGATTCGAATCCAGGACCTTCTGGTTACAAGACCAGAGAGCTCGTAGACCATTAAGCCACTGGGACCCGATCCAATGGTCCTTGAATTCTAACTTCTGCCAATTCACGACATAGCGCAACCGCTAGCCAATGCCTTTGGCGAGTATTTGTCATCACACTCGAATCGCTGCACCCTTACTGATCATGACTTCCCACTCGCCTTGTAACCAGAAGTTCCAGAGTTCGAATCCTAGGGAGGTGGGTGCGTACTGCTGAAGATGCACAAACTAAGACAACAGAAACATCTGTCCAGTACTCCACGACAGGTTTTCCAATG